TCTCTCCACTTTTGGGCATATTCTATGAACCCTTCATTCGAGCCCATAGCCATGTTTTATAGTTGCACCCAGGTTGGTGCAAGGCCATCATTATATTGGTACTACTTATAAAAATCAACGACCAAGTCTTCCCAAGTACGAATGTTGGTTCCTTCTAGTTGATAGAACCATTCGAGTTGTGTACCAGATAAGCTTTCCTGAAAGAAGTGAACCCATAATTATTTGTCAACTGTATGGGGTTGAATCTTCCAAACATAAGACCTCAGATGAAGTTTCGGACAAGACACACCATCATATTTAGCAAAAGCGGGAACCTTGAACTTGTGAGGGATAACCACCCCCGGAATAAGACCCATCTCTTTAAAATCTAGTCCAGGCACTTTCTGGATTTCCACGACCTTAAGACGGTCTTCTAACTACTTGTACATGTCATCAGCGAGAGGATACTGTTCATCAGAATAGTCTTCGTCCTCAGGAATTTTCCCAGAACCTTGGTTGCTTCCACCTTCAGCCCTAATACTTTTACCATCTTCCTCTTGATTGTTGTCTTAATCAGAGGAGACATCAGCAGTTTGAACCGGTTTAGCGGGACCTTTGAATCTTCTTCCCATGTTGAGGAAAGTAACTGGTTTTTGAGTCTTCTTCTTTTTGGCGATGAGCGTCATCATATCTTTCTGCCCCTGAGCCAAATTCAAGAGCGTTTCCTGGAATTGGGCATTCTGAGCTTGGAGTTCCTTAACAGTCTGTTCTAGGGCCATCTTTTACTGAAATAAACAACAAGAAGATGAGAAAACCTGTATTGGAAAACCTATTATGTGATGATGCATGATATTTAGATGAAATGTTTTCAAGGATCTCGCGGGGTAAACAAAAAAAGTGTTCGGAATTGAATCTGATTGCAGCTTTGGTTGAAGAACTTCGGGTCGTTGAATGTTCTTCTATGAGAATCAAGCTCACCATGTTGAGTAGGTCCTAGTCTTTGACTCAGGATAACATACTTAGGTCTTTGACGACATTGGTTAGGGGAAAATAAATCCCCTTACCCCTTGCTAGACGTTGATTCGCGATAGGAAAATAAATCCTCCTACCCCTTGCTAGACGTCTGGTTCATGATAAACTGCATCACATGCCCTTGAGATCCTTGAAATGGTCAGTAAAAATGATATGGTATGATGTCACGATGTTATAATGTCATGTTCGAACACAAGCAAATCACACAAGGCCTTAGGTTCAGGCTTGCATGGAGTTTATAGGTAAGTGCCCTCTTTAGTTTAGTTGTCTCAACCTGTCCTAAGAAAAGTAATCGGGTTCTAGGAGTCTCATATCATCGATCTTTCTCTCAAGCATTGTTTCAGCACAACATCTGATTTACAACCAAAATATCCTAAGAGTCTGATCTTAATGAGTGTAGTATCGAGTATCAACCAACTTCAGTTTGCACCAAAGCCGGCTATCTCACTATCTTCTAATGGCTAAGTTGGGTCAATTAAGGTTCTAAAGGTCAGTTAGTGCTTATGACACCACGCGACAACCCAACATTCTCCTTGACTGACTCAAGGGACACCAGCATAAACCAATGTGTCGCACTAACGTAGCCATTGATTCAACCATATCGATCTACGTCGTACAGTTTCCACGATCCATAGCTACTTACCTAAAATTCCCCCAGATCCGGGTGTAGGATCTTTACAATAAGTAAACCCAAACAAACCCAAATTATAAAGCAGACAACTTAAACAAGGAAAGCATTAAAAGAGTGATCTAACTCTAAATATAACCCCGCTTTTTGGTTTCCCAATAGAGTCGCCAATTTTGTAATATGGTGGGAGAATTGACATTTGGTTTTGCATTTTATCGCAAATGTTGCGGTTAGCAAGAGTCACCACCGACTTTTCTTTTATCCAATACAAGAAAGGGTGAAAAGAACAGGAAAGACCTTCGAGAATTTTCTGAGTTTGGGGGGTAGGTTATGAAAAGGGAAGGTGTTAGCACCATTTTCATCTGTATTTATCTACGGGCTCTTAATCGCTAGCTCACTTTTGTTGAAAATGCTTTGTGAGTGTATGTTTGTATTATGTACAATGGCTTTGTCCTTGAAAACTGAGCAGTGGTTGTTCTTTTATATTGATACAATTAGGGTTTCCTATTGTAACTGGTTTTGGACAGGCTTGCTTGTTATGGGCTTTTTGATATCTGATATGTTTATATTTTCCTGACATGTTGTTGTGATTATGGGCCTGAGATGCAATTTTAATGCCAAGTTGTTTTTGAATTTGTGAAAACTTTAATGGGCTTGGATGCAATTCTGTACTTGCATTGTTATTTTTATTGAATTACTGCAGGAAGTACTTCTTTACACCTCTCTTTGTGAACCAAAACAACAATTTGTGATTTGCAATAGAGGTTCCTTTGGGCCTATGACTATTCATTCAATTTCTGACTTGGTTGCGAAAATGTATGAGGCCTTTGCGTTTCTTGTGAACATGATTGAAATGACCCCTATATTCTGATTCCTTGCTCAAACCTTTATGATGAAATTGAAAAGAAATTTTCTTGAAAACTTCTCTCTTATCTCTTACTCAAAGTTATTGATGATTATACTAACCATTTCCCTTTCTTTTGTTTCATGTATGGTTAATGAGAGGAAGAATATGGCAAGATGAAATGGAAGAAAAAGCCTTGGCCTCCATAGAAGAACCTTGGAGGGAAATTTGAAGTGTGAAGCTTTTGAAGTCTCGCCATAGAATATCATATGATGGATTAGAATGAGTTTAGAAACTCTCTTAATTTGCCTTATAAGAATTAAACTTGTCTTGTAATTTGAAGTGATTTAGGAACAAAAATAATTCAACCTTTCAATTTGCCTCTCTTGTAATTTTTCAAAATGGAATTTGTAATACAAACTTTTTGCCAAAGTGCTTGTAAAACAAGTTAAATCTTGAATGAAATATTTGAATGATTTTGGCAATACTTTGAATAAAACTTGCCATGTTAAATGGTTTTGAGATAAACTTGAATGGATTTTGGTTGAAACATGAATCTTTGAACTTGAGATAAAAATATTACATTTGCAATTGTCATTTGATCTTGAATTCTCGAGCATAGTTAAGATTTAACTTTAATTGAAGAATTTAAACTCATTGTTTACTTTCAAACGAACAAAACTTCCATATGTTGAATATGGACCACTTGGAAAATTGAATCGCAATAATCACTTGAATGAACACTCCCATAATAATGAATCCACAATGATCCAAATCCTCAATCCGCATCAATAAGTAGCAATCTACAAGATGAAAAATGCCTTGCTCTCAACAAATCTCTTGGCACTTATAATTCAGTTCAATAAAGGGTATCATAATTTAATGGGCAATACAATAATCAACACCTTGAAGGATCTTTTGATGAAGGTATCATTTGAAATATGGAAATGAAAGTAACCACAAATATCTTAAGTTCACTGACCCTCAGTTGATGATTGAAAGTGTACTGAGATAAAACTCAGGATGATAATTGATCCAAGAATTTAGTCATGAAAGACGTCACACACTTCAGTAATCAATACACTAACGTAATAACCAGTAGATAGGAGAAAATATGATTTATTTCGAAACCCTTGCAACCCTGAACCCCTTATGAAACAAAAAAAAAACAGTTGACATGTCTTGAGGCCTGAGAAGCCTTGGCAGACTTGAGTAATTGAAAACCCTTGGATAATGTTTTGAATAAATGGGGGGGGGGGGGGTAAGTTTTGGGGTACAACAACAAGGCTACTAGGTTTAGAAGCGCAATTTTTAGGAAAAAGGGTTTTAATGTTTTATTAGGGGAACTCGCCACAATTTTGATCGTATGCCTATGTATCCTCTTAGGAGGAATCAGAGTCGTATTTCGTAGTTCGCGGTTGTCGGTTGATGTTTTTTATGAGATTATGTAGAATTGCTTTCGAATTAACCTTGAACCTTGCGTGGGTTTGAAAAATGAGTGATTGTAGACGTAGTTCGCAGTTAATTTTGAAAGTAATTCTATTTAATTTTTTTTCAAAAATAATCTTGTAGTTTTTGTTATGTTAGTAGAAAAATATTTTAATGTTGGTTAGCTGTATTAAAACATAGAGCGGGGGAGTCTGATATAGCCTCTTCATCACGTGGCCAGATATTGACCACGTGTCATTCGAAGATGGTGAATTGAGTGAGTTGCATGGATTTAAATTGTTTTTATTTTGAATAATAAACCGGTAGACGATATGTCGACCGATTTAATTACTCGAAGGCGGATATCCTATTATTTATAGAATGTTTGGATTAATCAGGAAAAAATTATAATATATCCAAAGTTATGATTTTTCTAATTAAATACATCAAGGCATATTCTTTTGAATTTTTGTTTTTATTGATTAATCATATAATAAACTAAGTACTAACTAAATAGATTAGCTAAGTTAGAAAAAAATAGAGGTGTAAATCATAAACAAAGATGCAAGATATACAACAAGGGTCCAAGCCCAACTAAGATTTCCAAATCCAATTCTTATAGTAAGAAAAAAATAAAATGAAGATAGAGATATCCGGAAGAAATAGGGGCGACATCCGCTTATACACCATTAACACTAAATTTGGTGAACTTTTCAACTTATACTAAGCTCCAATGGGAATAAGACATGTGTCCTTATTTGATTACAAAAAACACAATAATATATACACAACACGCACGCAAAGAGGGCTCAGTATCACCTCTTATTTCCTTCAATTTTTCCACAGAAAACCCTTTCTTCCAATTTCTCCAAAAATAACAAGCAAAAGAAAAACCCATATATTTTCATCAAAATCATCACCAAACCAACAAGAGTGAGAAATCAAGGAACAAAAACAATTAACCTGTCGGATTCGCATTTGGCAACCCGGCAACATAGCAGCGGGTCTCCAGTCAGGGGCGCGGTCGGCGTCAGAAGCGGTCGCCGGTGCAGTTGTAGGCTTCTAGGCGGTAAGCTGCGGACTTGTGGAATGTGCATTGTGTTTGATCAAAGGCGCGTGGGTGGTGTGCTGTTGTTTCGCAAGTGGTGCTTGTGCAAGGTCGAGGAGGCTTGCGCTGCTGTGATCTGGAGGTGTTGTCGTTGTTGTGTGCGTGACCAGATCCTGTGCAAGCTGGCTTTAAAGGAGTTGTTTCTTGAACGCAGGTTTGAACTCTTTTCTCCTCCATTTTGATTTTCTGCTATTATTCTCATTTTAATTTTGTCTCTATTTTTAGATCTCTGCCATTATGCCTATATTGTGAACCTACATCAGTGTTCGTGAATGAAAGTGTGGTTAGAAGGTGGCGGTACGGAGCGACGAAAGTGTGCACGCAGAGCAGCTTCAGGTGGCATCTAAATAGTGACTACTAGTAGAGGTGGAAGGCTATTGTCTAAGATCTCAACAGTGGACCTTATTTTTGTTGCTGTTATGAGAAAGAAAAGAAAAAAACAAAACTTTATTATTATTGTGTAATTATTCATTCAAACTGTGTCGGATTATCATGTTGTGTATATACAGTGTTAGGAATTGTTTGTGAAAGCGTGACTTTGTTTTTTTAACAAGGTTTTTAATAAAAGAAAAAAGTATCAGAAATTGTGAATATGTACAATGAATGGAGTGGATGAATTGATTTGGAGTGTAGCAATATTTAAAGAAATATGTATAGGAACTTTAAGTATCCTTGACTCTCCCAAAAGAGCATTTCACTATAAACACTAACAGAGATCTCTACTTGTTATAAAGAATGTTTTGTTTGGTTTTGAAATGGTAAAAAGAATATTATAAATTAGTAGGATATTACTAAACAAAGTTGTTATCTAGTACGAAGTAATCTACCGGCGAAACATGAGAATGTAAGGAAAAAACAATTTAGTAATAATCAATACTATAAACGGCTAGATGAGGAAAAATAGAATAATTAATGATCGTAAATGCCAAATATGATATATGAAAAAATAAATTAAAATGATAATTTTTCACAAAGAGTATAGTGAATAAAATCGAAGAACCATCAAAGAATCATCATTTGGTAAAAATAGCTAACAAATTTAAAACAGATAAAGATTTAAAAATAAAATGGAGCGACCTCATATTTTAATCATTGGACAAGATAAATAAGTTGCAAACAGTTTTGAAAAGAAGTTTTGAAAACAAGTGTATGAAAAAAAAAGTTAAAAAAATTATTGATAGTGTGTGCAGAGAAATTGCAAAATTGTGGATATTGTGGATCGTGAGAAATTGTGTGTCTTTGGATCTGTGAAAACTGTGAATAAAAAACTAGGACTAACTAAGGTCTATTTATATACTTGAATTAAGTTAGAAAAAACTTAGAGACTAAGTTATCCAAAAGCCCAAAAGAAAGTCCAAAGTTTGATCTCCACAAAAGGGAAGAAAATTAATAAAAATAAGAAAAAATATTTAAAAGTGCCACACACAAGATTCAAACTCGCGACCTCATACTTGCAAGCTTCATTCCTTATCAACTGTGATATGTTACTTATTCGAAATAAAAAGCCAATTGAAAGTACATGAAGACGAGCAAGTATTTGTTTATTCAAAAATATAAATAATCTTGAAATAAATTGTTGTATTTTTAAATAGCTTTGGAAGCACATATTTATAAAAATCAAGGAATATTTATAAAACCAATGTTTAAGAATACTTTTGACCGTAGAAATAAAGGGCGGGTAAATTTGGGGTATGACACACGAGTGAGACAATTTTTTCAGTTGTGTCTGACCTGAAACCACACTTTCTTTCTAGCTTGTCAAGCGAGTCCATTTCAGTTGTGATACGCTTGCTTTTTGGACAACACTTTTTATTCCTTCGCATTTGATCATTGTGCCAAATTATTTCCCCTTCATACGCAGGCCAATAATCTGGTTTTACTACCACTGGAAATCCATTGTTGTATACGTTGAGCAAGGTCTCGACCTTGTAACTGGGAGATAAAAATAGTAATGCATCTTGATGAGCACACATACATGTCGCAATAACATGAGAGCAAGGCATACAAAAGGCTTGAAAATTTCCACAATCGCACCAGCGAGATGGTAGTATAACCATATACTCTTGTCTTGGCAGCCCCTCGTTGTGGTCGAGTGTCTCTTTGACAATGAAAATATGGTTATGTCGGTCGAATCTTATAACATGATGAGTGTTGGATTTAGCACTTTCTACCTTAATAAATTTCATGCAGTTTTCACTCCATAGGTGTCCCGATTATAACACCGTGTTTCACATTTCACCGATTTTTGCAAACAACGAAGTCATCCTAAAATATGTTGATTTCACCAAAGCGGTTACTAGGAGGTTTTGTATGCCTTTGAAGACACCGTTCATTGACTCAATAGGATTTGTTATCACGTGGCACCATCATTGTCCATTATCGTATAATCTCGTTCATTTCTCCACTGGAAGATTATCAACCCACCTACCTGCATCCAGATTTGACAATCTGATTTCGTTGCGATAGTGTTTGAACGAAAATTGTGTTAATGCATACCCTGTGTTCATAATTGTTTTCCAAAGAGCCATGTCTTTGATCTCCCGCACAAAATTTTGTATGATATGTCTAATGTAGTAGACATGCATAGATGTGGAGGAGGCGTCACTAACATGTCTTTCAATTCCATATTTTCCTCACTCAGAATAATATACGACACATAGATCAATATATTGATTGGTACAAATTGATTACTAACGCTGAAATGTTTGTGTCTGACCGAGGTATTTGATCGACCCACACACACAATGGGCACAATCCTCAAATCCACAACAACACTACCAACAATCATACACCACCCAACAACAACCCCAACAATAAACCCAACACACATCAACCTCCCACCAAATACCACGACGATACAAATCCACAAACATCCAACCCCAATCACAACCTCAATACCAATACACCCATATGTCCCACACCGAACCCTAATCCCAACCTCAATACTAATACACCCACATGCCCCATACACAATTCCAGTACTATGAACAAAGACCATACATCTAACATCCTGATGTGGGCCCGTCATCATCTCCCCTTAGCCCAGACATTGGTCTACCTGAAGAGTATTCCCCAACCGACCCAATATACCATGAACTATCACATCGCCATAGCACCCAACAATCATATAGATATCAAACTCCACACAACCCATTACCTTTTTACCCCTCATATTCAAATGACCAGTGTTATCGACCACCTATGAAACCCAACTCCTCACCAAGACGACCAAACTATGAGAACATGGGTAGCCGACTGTTAGAAAGCGAGACCTCTAGAGATGGTGATCTGACGGATTTCATGGACGTTGATCGCAATGACTACACGGGGCCATCAACCCAACCACAACAGGATGAGCGTAAAGTGGGAACACGAGTTAGGTGAGAATGTGGTTGCGGAACCACTAGTCGTTATCGACTCCAGGGGGAATAATAAATAATATGTAACTTTTATTCATATTTTGTAATCGTTCCATGATTATTGAAAATCAAAGTTTCATTACGCAAAATCGTTTCGTTATTATCTTTTTTAAAATTAAAAAAATTAAAATTGACCCCCAAATAACACAGGCGTCATCTAAGATGACTTAGGACAAATGTCTTGCACCTAAGCGTCATTCCACTTGACGCCTCCATACAAACTTTAGGTAGATGCGCCAATTGACTTGACTCCTGCATGTTAGTCTTTTCCAAAACATAGTTATTCGCGTAATTTTTTTCGAAACGTGATTATTAGTTATTTAAAAGATAAAAAAAATCTACTTTTTCAGATACATTTGATAAATAATATATTTGAACAATATATTGTCCAGATATACTATTTATCAAATGTATGTAAAAGATAGACTTTTTCATCAAAAATAGTATTTCAGTTGTAACCAAAAATTGTAAAAAAAAAAATTTTTTTTACAGGAAAAAAATCATTTTAATTAATCCAAAAACAAGAGTTTAAATAAAGATCCAAACACAAAGAAAAGAAAGCAAAATATTTTATTACGGGCATTAAAATTCCAACCTTTCATTCCCTTCATTTTTAACAAGAAAAATATTTGAAAAAGAATGAATGGTCAGGATTTGAGCTTTACTCCACCGAGTGAAAAATTCACTGCAGACAATCCGAACCCGAAAAGCCTACCTAACTTTATCTCATTTAAGTGAACAATATTTCAGCAACTTTCACTATCTCCATCAAATCAAGAAAGTACCATTAGAATGGATATTCCGATCCCGACTCGTCAGTTATTCATTAACGGCGACTGGAAAGCTCCCGTCCATAACAAACGGATTCCCGTCATCAATCCCGCCACCCAAAACATCATCGGTCATTTCCTCAACTAATTCCGTCTTCTTTTACTCACGCCGTAAGATTGCTTCAATAATCTCGATTTTGTTTACTTCAGGCGATATCCCAGCCGCTACTAAGGAAGATGTCGATACCGCCGTCGCCGCCGCGAAAACTGCTCTCAACCGTAACAAAGGCGCTGATTGGGCTACCGCTTCTGGCGCTGTTCGTGCTGGATATCTACGCGCTATCGCTGCTAAGGTTACAGAGAAAAAGCCTGAACTAGCGAAGCTTGAGGCTATTGATTGTGGAAAACCGCTCGATGAGGCCGCGTGGGACATTGTAAGTGCTAACTAACTAACTATAGTGTTAACTGTTAACCATTTTGAATTTGCGAAATGAAGATTGTTAGTTATTTGTCTGTGTAGGACGATGTTGCTGGTTGCTTTGAGTTTTATGCTGATCTTGCTGAAAAGTTGGATGCGAGACAAAAGACGCCGGTGTCTCTTCCGATGGATACATTCAAGAGTCACGTGCTTAGGGAACCTATTGGTGTTGTTGGATTGATAACTCCATGGTAAATTTTCCAAATGCGTTTAGTTGAACTTCTTGTTTAACCTTAGTTTGTAGCAATTTAGTTACTATTTCAACTTCTATCTGGCCAATCCAGTCAGATCTCGTCCGTTTGATCAAGTTGCAACTTGAATTCAACTGTCTGAGATTTGGATGGAAGGGCCGGACTACTCTGATTATGTGCTTACAGATTCTAGGTTTTAAATAACGGTCGCGGTCGCCTAAAGGCTTTTGCGGTTTTGGTTGGTGTTGGGACGCTGATTGCGACCGCGGTCACCTAAAGGCCTTTGCGATTTTTGTCAGTACCAGTGTTGGGGCGCTGATTGCGGTCGTCACGGTGTGAATTAATTACAATTTGTTCTTGATCACAAAATGGTGAATAACGATATTGGTATCGATATCGGCATCTTCCGATACCGTTTTGTCGTGGCTGTTTTCACGTTAAGAAACTGATTCAACTTCCATCTAGTCAATCCAGTCAAATCTTGGCCGTTTGATCAAGAACTC